AACACCGCTAAATAAAAACTTACAGCTTCAAAATTGGATGTGTCCTCACTGGCCTGCTCCCGGATGGTTGGTATTGATCCCGGCAATGCACGTGACCGTGGCTCATTCCCCTGATAGGTGGAGAGTTGACCAATAAGCGGAGCACGTCTCTTTGTGACGTAGGAAAGTGTTGAAATCTGGATCCGTTTTTTTCAGATCCGTTTCAGCCACTTTTTTAGAGATTTGGCGAAGGAGGAAAATAGAGAGGGTTGTGTTTTCTGACACTTGGTGAGTTCTCTGGAACACCGGGGACACATATTCATGTATAAAAGACGTCCAAAGGTGCATTTTGCATGATAGGTCCCCTTTAAGGAAGTGCTCTGCATTGTAAAAATAAATAGATAATAATCTATTCATTTTGACAAGTTTAGCCAAATGTTAAATTGACTTTGTTAACAGAGAGTTTCTAAATAAATGGAGTCAAAACATATCAGAGATATTTTCTCTTTTTAAATGCAGTAGATGGAACCTGATGTATTAAACAAAAATACTATTGTTGCTTTTAATTCATGTCATTCCTAAACAGCAACTAAACTATTTTGTATTCCTAGCCTATAATCTAAGAGGACACATTTATTTGATTAATTGTCTTGTTTTTTTCTAAGGTAGCATTGTTCTGTTGTTTTACACAATACACGTATGTAAACAACATATTATTTTTATTTATTTTATCTTGTCTGTATTCACATTGCATTTGATATTGCAGAAATCCAAAAGTAACAGAAAGTAATCAGATTACATTAATTTTCAATTGTGATTCTCAGATTAGGTTACTGATTACATTTTCTTATTAGACATTTTATGGAATACATTTTTTAAAGTCACCCTCCTAACTTGGCTTTAAGTTTCTGTAACCTTTGCTAGGGACCCCTGCTCCTAACACCAGGGTGGGTTTAATGTAGAGTGATTTTTCTTCTGTGGTCCTATGAACATATGTGATCATTTTTGCAAACTCTTTGCTCAGGAAGGCTTCTCTTTGTGACACTGAGGATGTGCAGCAGCAGTGGTGACTGAGAATGCCCTCACACATCACCAGGGGGCAGTGAAACCTCACAGGCAAGAGAAAAAGGCTAATACATTTACCAATAGGGACATTGTTTAATTCTAGGTATGAGTCTATTTCCTTTATCACAAGCATGCATCCATTACTAGACTACAAAATAATAATGGAGAAATAAAGTCACAGTGAGACAGCAGAGAAAGAGGGAAAACTCCAATGAGAGTGCTACATATAAACATGATATTATGTATGATGTGATGAACATGATATCCCAGGGTTGTAACTGCCGAAATGACTTTCCATGTTGAAACACAAACTCTTGCTCTCACGTTGTTATCTTCTGAACCAAAAAAAAAAGTCTGACTTGCTTCATGTACATTAATTAGTACACCAACTGCTTCATTTGAGGTTGATCTGAACTCAAAACCTTGTGGTCAAGGCAAGCAACACTACCTTCCTGACGACACAGCGCTATGACATCACTGCACGTTATTATGAATATGATCTTATTTACAGTTTTGCCTTGTACAGATATACAATGAAACGACTCAGTAGCAGAGGAAAGAACTTCTCATGACTCACTACTGCAAAGAGACAAACATCTCTATTCAGGAGAAAATGCTCATATTTTGAGAAAAAGGCATAAAGCCATTTGAATTACATTACATTACATTGCATTTAGCTGACGCTTTTATGCATTCTGGGTGAGCTGCAGAGGTCGGATGGCACATGCAGGTAGACCAGCCAGAAGGGAGTTGTAGTAGTCTAGGCGTGAGATGTCGAGAGCCTGGACCCGAACCTGCGTTGTTTTCTGAGTCAGCTGGGGACGTATCCTCCTGATGTTGTAAAGCGTGTATCTGCAGCAACGGGTTGTAGCAGCGATGTTTGCAGTGAAGGACAGGTTGTTATCTAGGGTCACACCCAGATTCCTTGCAGTCTGAGTCGGGGAAACAACAGAGGTGCCGATGTTGATTGTCAGGTCAAGAGTTGGACAATCTTTTCCCGGAAGGAAGAGCAGTTCAGTCTTGTCAAGGTTGAGCTTGAGGTGATGATCAGACATCCACCGAGAGATGTCCGCTAGACAAGCAGAGATGCGTGCGACGACCTGGGTCTCTGAGCGGGGAAAGGACAGAATTAATTGGATGTCGTCAGCGTAGCAGTGGTATGAAAAACCATGCGGGCTAATGACTGATCCGAGCGAGTTTGTGTACAGAGAGAAGAGGAGGGGACCAAGGACAGAGCCCTGAGGGACCCCTGTAGTTAATTGACAAGGGTCGGACTCAGACCCTCTCCAAGTCACCCTGTAGGTACGGTCTTTCAGGTATGAGGTGAGGAGGGAAAGTGCAGAGCCTGAAAGTCCAAGTTCTTGGAGAGTGCGAAGGAGGATCTGATGGTTCACCGTGTCGAATGCAGCAGACAGGTCCAACAGGATGATGACAGAGGAGAGGGATGCTGTTTTGGCAGTGTGCAGTTCCTCAGTGACAGCAATGAGAGCAGTTTCTGTGGAGTGACCTGCCTTGAAACCAGACTGTTGCGGATCCAGAAGGTTGTTCTGATGGAGATAACAGGAGAGTTGTTTAAAGACAGCGCGTTCAAGTGTTTTAGACAGGAACGGGAGGAGAGAGACAGGCCTGTAGTTTATAACATCAGATGGGTTGAGAGTTTTTTAACAAAAATATATAGCCATATTTCAAGAAAAAAGTTGAAAGAAATTCAAATTCATATGCGAACATTACAATTCACATGTCCAACAGCTACTGTTTCTCTTGCATCACTGTTACACCACTGACAATTACCATTTTCTCATTAGGACTTTAATACTTTAAACATTTGACATTGAACTTTCAAGTTTATATTATAATAATAAAATATGACCGTTTTCTTCTTTCAACTTCATTTATATAATTGTCAGACTTTTACTGGCACACTCAGACTTTACAACAGAGTTTTAATATTATAGTTTACATTTTTTTTTAACTCAACTGTCAATTTTTATTCGTTTTCTTCAAGTAATAATCCAAGGTATCTCATGCTATAATGCTCAGCCTGCTGTCACTACAGAGGGTTGTCATGATTACATGTGTTGTCCTGTGGCCCTCTCCTCTCTTGCTCTGGCCTGATGTTGTCTCCAACAGCAAAGGGTCTGTTTGAGCTCCACGGTCTGCAGGGTGTCCGTTCTGACAGCCTTCAGCCGGGGACGTCAGTCTGCAGCAGAGCAGGAAGCACTTGTGGCCAGTGAGATGGTGCCACAGTGTGCTCCTGAAGTGTGTCCCATAGGGTACCACTTTACAATAAGACTACCCTTATAAAGGATTCATAAAGGGTTTATAATTAGGTTATTAATTAGGTTCTAAACACTTTGTTAATCATTAAGAACCATTTATAAACCAGTTCTAACATAGTTCTACATCAACACAGGCTCACTATTTGGCAAGACGACTAAGCCTTATATTGACACTAGCTTACTTCGTCTTCTTCATCAGCCAGCATCCTTGGTATCTGTTGTTCACCGAGTTGAATCTCCCCCATCCATCTTGATGTTTCTTGGCATCTCTTTATGACCATTTATTAATGAATTACTACCATTTCTAATAAGGCTTAGCAGTACAGATAAATGTGGGCTCACTATTTGGCAAGCAACCGGTCACAGTTGCCCTGTTTATGTCTTATAAAAGCTTATTTGTAATAATGTATAATGATTTATAAAGTGTTCACAACATAATTAATAAATGAATTACAAACTATTTGTAAACCCTTTATAAGGGTAGTCTTATTGTAAAGTGGTACCAAAGTAATACACCCTGATTACACCTGATTATCTTTTTCTCCTGCTGTTTTAGTTTAACACATGAATTAAAAGCAAACACATCATTTTGTTTAATAAAACAGGTGTCCACCTACTGCATTAATACAAATATATTTAAGATAAAGAACAATGAAAGAAGCCCAAATGAAAACCAGTCTTAAACAATGCACCAGCGTTTTGAAAATATATATATATTTTCATTGCATAACATATTTTCTTATTGTGCAATAATAAAGTATGAGCCTTTTGGCAGTTAATGTTTATTATGCTGCATTAGGGATAATGTTTAATATGGGAAGTGGAGGAGAGAAGTACCGAGCTAAGAACCGAATTCCCCCACCATGGATCTGATAAAGTGTTCCGATCAGAGGTTCATCAGACTGAGCTCACAGGAAGTTCATTGCTTTGTTGTTGTTTTTAGCATGTTAGCCACCCAGCTAACGTTAGCTTATCTCAGTCACCGGGGGAAGTCACAGTGATAACAGCTTCTCCAGCGGGTACAATGTTGTCCACGTTTAACGGAGGTAATGCTTTTGATATAAACATCATTTTAAAAATAAACTACTTTTCAGAATGACGGGGTATTTGGGTTGACCTTTTAGCTTAATTGTTCTTGATTTCCCAAAATGAACCACGACAGTGAACGCAACGTCAAAGGACCCCAAAGAGAGGCGTCCGTGTCATGCCTGAGCGCCTTTCTGTTTTGGCCACTTTGGCAAAGTGTTTCTATTTCAAGTGTTCGAACGTGCCAGGTTTTTTAAAGTTTGCCTCCATATCAGATTATACATTCAGAAAAGTATACAAATAAATTATTATTATAATGAGTATTTTCTATTATTATTGTTGATTGTAGCACTAGTAGTAGCCTACGTGTATACATGTATACATGTGTATTATATGTTGTCATATTTGATTTTTTTGATTTGTTGTAGTGTAAACTGTTGCTTTATTTATTCTAGACTTGTTCACACACTGAGATGTATTGTCAACACTGAAACTGCCTGTCAGTGGAATGTTTTCAGGACACACCTGTGAGAGTGAAAGTGTGTGTGTGCGTGTGTGTGTGCGTGCACGCGCGCGCGCGTGTGTGCGTGCGTGCGTGCGTGTGTGTGTGTGTGTGTGTGTCCTGCAGGAGTCTCAGTTGTCTCAGACAAGTTCAGGCAGAGTAAAGGTGTGTCTCGCGGCAGTCAGGAGGGGGAGGCAGCCTCTCGGCCACTCAAGTGGAACTTTACCTGAAGTTATATCTTCTTCCGTGAGGCTTCTCCAGTCTGTGTCCGTGTGGAGTGCTGAGGTCCGACTGATCCAGGTACAGCTCTGCAGTCCAGTCTCTCTCTGTCTCTCGGGCCAGAAAACGACTCTGCTGGATCCGGAAACCTGAGCTCGTGCACATGTCGCTCATGAAATCTTGAGGAATCTGACTGTTTGCCATGGAGAGAGTCTAAACCCGCTGGACGAACAGGTAAATACTGGCGTTTTCAACTGTTGTGCAGCGGTGAGCAAAGGGCTGGGTGCCATGTCATTAATTTAGACTGTCAGCAGTATAAAACGAGTATAATTCAGGTCTACTTCCTCATAATCTGTCCAGTGATAACAGTAAAGTAGCATACTTTATGTTAATCTGTAGTAGCTATTTAAGGAAGCCTTTTTGTGCAAAAACAAAAACAAAACAATGGACACAAACTTCGCGACGACAAAAATACAAAAGGTAGGCTAAACCAGAACGTTCAAATACTGAGCTAAAAGTATTCGTTTTATAGTTAATATGATTATACAGTAGCCTACTCCGTAAAGGCTGTTGTTTTAACCCCGAATTTCTAAATACAAATGATAAGATACTAAATCATATCAGACTTTGATTTGCGCATAATCTCAAGTAAGAGTAATTGTTGACTTATTTTACTTACTCTAGATATTATATTTTATACGTTTTTCCCAAAATCTCGTCCCACCAAAAATATGGATAGAAAAATAGGAAAACAAATATTTAAGTGTTTACGGTAAAGAAAAAAATGTATGTATAATATCTTAACATTGTAACTTACATTTTCATGCAAATGTAGTCATAAATCCACCTTTTTTGGGGCTAATTACTTTAAGAATTGAGTCAAAAATGAAACAATGTAACAAACTGTGGTCTGGTGCACACCAGAGAAGCGGACTATTAGGTGTGAATGCGACCTAAATCATGCTACAAGTGATCTTCATGAACTTTAACAACATTACATAAAGCATGTAGTAAGTCAATGTAAAACATTCAAACCAACAAAGCCAATGGTGATAGTAAAATATTTGTCGGTCTCATGCATTACAGTAATTTATTATTATTTATTTTAAACTGTATTTTTTTCATTTCATTTTCATTTCATTTTCATTTTCATTTTTCATTCAGTGTGAGAATGTCAATTCAGAATTGAAAGGAACATTGAATCCAAAGTGGGCTGCCATTTAGTGAGCAGACACACCCTGCTTTATTTATTGCTTCACTGCAGCTCTCCTAAAACTCATATCTGGCCAATCCTTTTCTTGCACACAGCCACCATGCGCAGGTTCAGCTCCGAGGGGAACCTCCTGGATCTGGACTTCCTCCCCTGGAAGAGGATGGCCCTGAATAACCAGGATGTTCAGAAGAACCGGGACTCTGGCACCTACACCCCTCACACAGAGGAGGACGATCTGAACGGGGGCTCCACCCTCCTGACCCCCACCATCCTGGAGCCTAAAGGGGGTAAGCTGACCAAGCAGCACAGCGTCAGCGTGGAGACCCTGACTGAGCTGGGGAAGCAGGACAAGAACCACCTGAGTGTGGGCCTCATGGGGGAGGGCTGCAGGGCCTACAGCGACGGCCAGCTGGCCCCCCAAGCCCAGGGCAGCACGGAGAGCATGGAGAGGGACGACATGCCCCCTGGCTCCCCCTCCTCCACCATCCCCTTCTCCTTCAAAGCCCATCACAGGCACAACCAAAAACACAAGCTGTCCTCCGCCAAGCTGCACCTCCGGAGTCTGTTCGGACAGGTGGGGCTCTTTCAGTCTGTAGAGCAGCACACATTACAATCTGGATCTAGAATCTATCTCACTCTTGCTGTTGGGACTCACCATGTGAATGAGTTGAAAGCATGGGGGAAAGCCCTTGAGTGCATCTGGAGTTGCATTTTGAATAGTTAAAAGAAAAGTACACAATAATCATTTGCTCACAAGATGATAAACAAACCAAATCATATAGTAGATTACCATATCCTGCTTGTCTTATCCTTCATGTTTACAGGCAATTATCTGTCAGTACTAGCTCAGTTAGTTAGTTAGTTTGTAGAAAAAAGAAATGTGTGATTCTTACACGTTTTGTTTAGGACACTCTCCACATATTTATGCCTGTTTTAAAATAGTTGAAGCATAAAATAAAACACTGACGTTGAGCTTTAAAGGGTCCCTATTCTGCTTATTTTCAGCTTCATATTAGTATTGTGTGTCTCGACTGTGAAATGCTTTGATGTGAGAGAAACTCTCTAGCCTTTGCAGACCATGCACACACACCTAGATAACACACTACAGGAGAGGGGAAACCCCCAAAGCTTCAGTCATTCACCAGTGGGGTAGCTTGTGTTAACCACATACCTCATTTCAGGCATTCAGGCAAAAACGTTAACAAAGTTTAAAAAAAACATTGACTTTGAGACAAGGAAATTGGAATGTCTAAAATGCGAACTCATTCTGGATTTCAGGACTAATTCCTGCACCACTCTATTGGGGTTTCAGTGAGTTGAACACAGGGAAGACTTCCAGTTAACTTGGTCTTTTCTGTTTCAGAGTCCTCATTCTTCAAACCCAAACCTGTCCAACACCGAGCAGAAAGACAGGTCAGCATACTCTTTATTTTCATTCAACTTCATTTTGACTATTGCTAATTTAGATGGATATCCACACACTGCATTAAACTGGCAGAATTTCCTCACAACACTCAAGACGTTTAAATGCTGTCCTCAGACACATATTGGATGTCTTCAAAATGAGATCCATTTGTTCCTGCGTCAGTATTTATAATGATGTGATCCCCAGTGTGACAGAGCGGAGGTCCCGCCTCCTCTTCATGCGGCAGTGGAGCCAGGTGGGCCACAGTAAGAAGAGGAAGTTCAGTCGAGAGGAGCTGGAGAAATGGGCGGAGTCTCTGAACACCCTGCTGCTCAGCCAAAGTGAGTCCTGCTTTACTCTGAGACTAGAGTTGTATTCAGAACATCACTCATTGATTGATGGAACCATTTGTTTGATTTGATTACTTTCATATAAATCACTGAACAAACTGGGAGGCTGTAATTGTGTGGGAGAGAAGCCCCCTTTGGAGGGGCTTTGGGATTTGAAACCTATATGTCACACTACAGAAAAGGGAAACTCCCAAAAGCACAATAGGACGTCTTTTAAATTGGACATTTTCATCTTGAATATTGGAGCCTATGAGAGCGATATGGACCAATCACCACCAAGGGAGGATTGAGCTCCATGAAAGACAAGGAAGAGATATTTCTCTTGTGTAGCAGATGAGCTGCTATATTTCCTTGTGCAACCCTGTGCTGCTGAATGTATTGAGGAAGTGGATCAGCACAATAATTACAGAGTGTTTTATGTCTATAGGGCAGCCCAGGGGCCTCATTTATAAACGGTGCGTACGCTCAAAAAATGGCGGACGCCAGTTTCTACGCAATGTTTACGATTTATCAAATACTAACTTGACGGGAAAACGTGCGGTCCTCCACGCAAACTCTAACCCATGCGTACGCACTAAGCACAAACACGGGAGAGACGAGAAACTGCGACACCGTTGGCAGAAGGAAGAATGGAGAGAAATATGTGGAAATAATACCATAAATAAAATGTTACCTCTCATTTATCATATATGAAGAATTCATTTTCAAACATTGATTAAAGCCAATCTTAAAATGATGAAACAAACGCCTGTTTGAGACTCCTCAGTGCACACAAAAACATAACTTGGAGAAATAAATAAATACGGATATGTTATTTAAAACCACCTCGAATATGTTGTGTTAATGTTATGAAATGTTTTCTCATAAATGATGCGGTAAGCAGGAGGACAGAATTACGTCTAAACTGACGCCGTTTTGCATTTCTATAGGTTGTAGATACGAGCATGGTTTTATATACTTTCCAAGTATGCTGGACATTGGAACAGTCCTTCGGCCGCACTCCATGACGTAGTATGCTTGAAATAGTGGCTCTGCAGCAGCTTTACTCGACATTGAGAAACACCCACTGCCTGAGGAAGGCTATGTGTGTTTATTTTGTTAACTTTTTTCGGACCACTTATTTATTTATTTTGGTGACGATCCGACCTCCATGCTGCTGCTCTGGTTCAAACTGCATCCACCAAACAATATGATTTATCTCCACCTCCCCAAAAGAACCAAAATCTGACACGGTGTTAGATGTCTTTTGTAGCTGTTCTGTCGTCATTTCCTGCGATCTTCTTCATAAAGTCAGTCAGAATTAATGAATGGGCGTTTCTTTGACTATTTATAGGCAAATGTGGGCGTTACGTGAAGCCCGCAAAAGCTGCGCCGCATTTTGAGTCGATTGTGATTTATAAAGGGAAACCGGCGTAGGATGTGCCGTACGCAAGTCCTGCGCCGGTACGCAGTCTTTTATGAATCGGAAAATGTCTGTGTGTATTTATTTGCTTTGTCCTACATAAGCAACCTTCCCACGCCAATCCTACGCAAGGCTTTATAAATGAGGCCCCCGGCCTTTGCCAAAAGTCCAGCCAAAGAATAAGCAGGGAGGGCGTTCCTGTGGGAGGGGGAGGGGGTCTGTGGATCCATAGGGTTCCCTTTTTTCTGATGTTAGATGATAGCTCTTCTTCTAAACGTTTTTTGAGCTTCTGACCAGAACACCTACACCCTGTTATTTGGACTGATGGTCAACTTCTGCTTTAAAGACATGTTGGTGCAACTGAAACTCTGTCTCAAGTTCCCCTGCTGTGTCTGAAGTCCCAGGCAGGGTGTCGACATCTGAGCTGACGTCACTGGTTACTGTGTGCTGTGCAATAAAGCTTAAAGAACAGCACTTACCTGGACCCTGCTGCCTATTAATAGAACAGTTAGTTAACAGCGGTATAAATCACTCCCTGCAGCTACAGGATGTTTGAGTTTGGTCTGACGTAAACAGGGATAGTGGTTGCAACATTTGTTATGCCTGCTACACGGGTACATTCCTGAATCACTGCTCTGTGTCCTGGTAGGGTTGTTTGTGGTGTGTTCCAGTACTCTTGTGTCTGATCAGACACACTCACGTCACCGGGTTGAACAACACCAGGGGCGAGTCCTGATTGAACACTCTGATAATACAGATAGCTCCACAGGATATTTTAAATACTTTCCATTTATGTATCTGCTCTGTAGATAACTTTAGCTGAGGGTAGTGCAGGTGTGGTTAGATACCTGAAATGAGATGAAGAGATGTTAACCTTTTTGTTCTACGTCATACAATACGTCAGTAAATACCTCACTGGTGAAAGTCTGAAGTTTCTTTGTGTCTCTAAAACGGCAGTTGCTAACAGGAGGCAAAATGAGACATCTGTACGTCATCACACCGAACATTAGCCGCCTTTACCTCAGCAGTGGTGATGGGCAGTCATATGACCGTGTGTACAGTACAGTACATGTCACTTGTTCGACGCTTTTATCCAAAGCGACTTACATACTCAATACTGTGGGCAATCCCCACAGGAGCAATTTGGGGTGAAGTGTCTCAGGAACACAACAACATGCTGACTGCAGTGGGGTTTGAACCTGTGACCTCCTGATCCGAATACCAACTCACAACCCACTGCACCACACGCCTCCCCCAGTGTGTAGTTTTCTTTTTAGCCTAGTTAGATTTTTACATCTGGCATTTGCATTTACGCTTCAAATATAAAGAAGCAGTGTTAACATGGGGTGATTATCCTCTTGTTCTCTGCAACATACTGATGTCCAATGGTAAAATACCATTGTTTTTTAACGACGGAGCCCTTGCGTTGCTAACTTCTTTTGCCTACTAAATAACTTCATCCTTGCACCAGTGTATTAACTGTAGGATTAGGCTAATGGATGGTTTGTGAACAATTCTGTCTGTGTCCTTTATGTTAATGTTTTCCAGTAAAAAGCCTAGTATCAATGATCTGCGTACATTTTGTTTGTCTTCTCTTCGGCTTTTTGGGGTTTCTTTCCTGCAGTGTGTCATATAGGGTTCTGTGCATGTAAATGGTCTGCAAAGGCTAATATCTCTGTGTTCCCTCAATCACAACAGAGCCAGCCAGCTAACCAATCAGAGCAGGCTGGGCTCTGGTTTCAGACAGAGGGGTGAAAAGAGGTGCTGCAGCACAGGCAGTATGAGAACAATAAAGAGCTGTTTGGACATTAAAGCATGGAGACATGTCCCAGTAGAGACACTACATACTGACATTAACCCGATAATGAGCATAACCGGGCCCCTTTAACGTTAACACCTCCTCTCATCTCTCAGACCATGTTTTTTATTTCAGCATTGATGAACTTATGCTTCAGTAATGTTCTGCTGACTCTTTGCCTTTAACTGTACACAGAGCCTGCCTGATGGCTCCCCCTTATCAGTGCCATGCTAATTTAGAGTGCTGTTCTCTGCAGCTGAAGTGTGTGAGCTGTGGCATACCTAAATGCGGTATCAGCACTTTGACACTGTCCTCTGTACAAAGTCATGTTTGAAACCTCAGATTAATAACCAGCCATGAATCAAAGCCTAGACAGCCTGAGACGAGACAAATAGAAATGAACGGTGCGTGCCAACGTTTTGAAACGAACCTGAGAAACTTCACAGCTGGCAACACTTGTGTGTGTTTGTGTTGTGCTTACAAGGCCTGCAAGATTGTTGCGTCAGTGTTCTGTGTGGGTGTCTGCTTTGTAACATGCTTAAAGTGAGGTTTGCATGTGTCCCTCCTCCTCCTCTCAGGTGGGGGGTCTCAGTGTTTGGAGCATTCCTGCGCTCTGAGTTCAGCGAGGAGAACCTGCAGTTCTATCTGGCCTGTGAGCAGTACAAAAACTCGTCCAACAACTTCAGCCTGCAGAGGCGGGCCAAGGAAATCTGCAGCACCTACATCCAGCCCGGAGCCTCGCGGGAGGTACACAACTCTTATGTTCAAGCTAGCGTCATGCAGCCAAGGTTTTCAAACCTCTCTGCATCAAACAGGACATTTAATTCAAGTCCTGTCTCATGTGTGTACCGTTCATGTTTCCCCCTGTGTAGGCGTTTGAGGTTTAACGTCACAGCTTGCATCAATAGCAGCATTCATTAGAGACTGTTTTGCACAAGTAGAGCAAGACTTGCCAGAAAAAACAACCTTTTGGAAACACATCAGTATTTTCTACTTTCTTCTTTTTCTTCTACTGATAGGAAATGACTTAAAGTGAACATGTGTGACAAATGTAAAGGTTACACCAAACTGACCTAACGCCCTCCACCTGTGAGCATTTGATGTTATTCCTAACAAGTTGACAATTACCTAAACATTTGCAACAGCTCGGGTAGGCTGAGGTGAAACTGTTTGTGTACTTGATTTCATTTCAAAACCTTTATTTATCCAGATTGCCCTTGAGATCATAGATCTCTTTTTCAAGGGAGACCTGCCAGAATTATTATTATTACACTGATTTCTCGCTATGAAGACTACCTTTGTTCTTTTTTAGAACCACTTATTTTAGAGGACATTTACTAGTTCTAATGAGTTAAACATAATCTCACCATACATTCAGTTCTCTCTACTCCAATAGTATTCTGAAGAAATTGTAAAGTTCAGCAGTAAAACAAATAAAGTTCCTCATGTCAATTGTTTTCCCTAATGTAGGTACTGGATTAACTAAATTGATATACTGTAAGAGCAGTGACTTTGAAATGGCTTGCACCAGATCAGTGGTTTTAAAAAAAGAGTAAACTATTCTTACATCTTTGGCCCATGAAGTGTCCATTTTGTCGATGTTATGTTTTACTATATATAACTATCATACATTAAGGCATTCATTCTCACTTGGTGTGTTGCTCCAGTCCAGTTAATTTGTGCATTTCCAACTAAGGGAAATGTTCAGATACAACAGGAGACGTGCTGTGATATGTGCACAGCAGCTCTTCCTGTGGAAATAGATAATGCTCAGTGATTGCTGCACTAGTTCTTGAATAGATGATGTTACAGATGTGTCTGTGGTACTGTGATTACTCTTAATCTAGAGGTCATTTTGTTAGCATCAGGGGTATACATGTTCCAAAAGAAGTCAAGCATGATCCGGATGTGAAGCACATTATAGCACGTATCACAGGGCTACTTACTAAATAAATCAAGAGTTTTATATATTAAAAAATATATATTGACTGATTTAAAAATGACAGCAGACTGTGTAAGTCTGTTCACAATTTTATTTTATTCAAATCAGTCTTTAAACTCAGAGCCTTATACCGTGTTCCTGTTAGTGTTTACTTCCTGTCTGTCTTCTTCTGCTGTTCCCTTTAGTGTTTACTTCCTGTCGTTTATTCTGCTATTCCCTTTAGTGTTTACTACTTTCATGTCTGTCTTCTTCTGCTGTTCCCTTTAGTGTTTACTTCCCTGTCTGTCTTCTTCTGCTCTTCCCTTTAGTGTTTACTTCCTGTCTGTCTTCAACTGCTGTTCCCTTTAGTATTTACTTCCTGTCTGTCTTCAACTGCTGTTCCCTTTTGTGTTTACTTCCTGTCTGTCTTATTCTGCTATTCCCTTTAGTGTTTACTTCATGTCTGTCTTCTTCTGCTGTTCCCTTTAGTGTTTACTTCCTGTCTGTCTTCTTCTGCTCTTCCTTTAGTGTTTACTTCCTGTTCGTCTTCAACTGCTGTTCCCTTTAGTGTTTACTTCCTGTCTGTCTTATTCTGCTGTTCCCTTTAGTGTTTACTTCCTGTCTGTCTTCTTTCTGCTGTTCCCTTTAGTGTTTACTTCCTGTCTGTCTTATTCTGCTATTCCCTTTAGTGTTTACTTCATGTCTGTCTTCTTCTGCTGTTCCCTTTAGTGTTTACTTCCTGTCTGTCTTCTTCTGCTCTTCCCTTTAGTGTTTACTTCCTGTCTGTCTTCAACTGCTGTTCCCTTTAGTGTTTACTTCCTGTCTGTCTTATTCTGCTGTTCCCTTTAGTGTTTACTTCCTGTCTGTCTTCTTCTGCTGTTCCCTTTAGTGTTTTACTTCCTGTCTGTCTTATTCTGCTATTCCCTTTAGTGTTTACTTCATGTCTGTCTCTTCTGCTGTTCCCTTTAGTGTTTACTTCCTGTCTGTCTTCTTCTGCTCTTCCCTTTAGTGTTTACTTCCTGTCTGTCTTCAACTGCTGTTCCCTTTAGTGTTTACTTCCTGTCTGTCTTATTCTGCTGTTCCCTTTAGTGTTTACTTCCTGTCTGTCTTCTTCTGCTGTTCCCTTTAGTGTTTACTTCCTGTCTGTCTTATTCTGCTATTCCCTTTAGTGTTTACTTCATGTCTGTCTTCTTCTGCTGTTCCCTTTAGTGTTTACTTCCTGTCTGTCTTCTTCTGCTCTTCCCTTTAGTGTTTACTTCCTGTCTGTCTTCAACTGCTGTTCCCTTTAGTGTTTACTTCCTGTCTGTCTTATTCTGCTGTTCCCTTTAGTGTTTACTTCCTGTCTGTCTTCTTCTGCTGTTCCCTTTAGTGTTTACTTCCTGTCTGTCTTCTTCTGCTGTTCCCTTTAGTAGTGATGTGTCGGTCGCGAACGACGGGAGCCGGCTCGCGCCCGAGCCGTTTTTTGTTGTTGATAAGTAATACAAGACAGAACGATATGATGATCTCCGTGCTACGCATGCATGCAGTGACATGTAATATCCAAGGATAAGAGACTCTTGGATGCTGCTGTTTTGCACATTGCAATACATTTATTTGTATTATCTTTTGTTTTATGATTAGAGGCGGTTGGATGCTGCTGTTTTGAGCATTGCAATATATTTATTTTCACTATGTTATTTATTTATGATTATCCTTAGGCTCAGCAAAGATGTTATACCTGTTGCTATCACTGCTTTGTGTAGCGTGGTTCTACAAGCAAGTCAGTGCATTCTTTGGGTGGCATCAGAGAGTTACACGGGTCTGTAAATGCAATGAAAACAATTGGCCACAGCAAATCATTTATATTAAACATGTCATTTTTACTTTTGAATACTTCAGTACAAAGGATGTATTGAATAATGTAAGTGATATATGTGTACAGGTACAGTATAAATCATGAGTCAAAACAGGGCTACATTTGATTGAATTATAAAAGGTATATGTGACCTGCTCTATCGAAATCAGTCACATTGACCCGAAGACACATTTAGAGTTGTATACACTGCTGGAAAGAGGAGATTCCTAGCTTTCTAATGATATCAGGATTGTTTTTGTACTCCAAATATTAAGCGAAATATATCACATTATATAATGACTATCACCGAGTCATCATTTTGAGAAAAAGGCCTTCAAAGTTTCCTTCTTCTCTGGAATCCATCGATCTGATTGATTGATGATTCTTCTTCTGCGATCTGTACTTGATTGTCTTTCTT